AATTTCTCTTCTTCTGCTGGCCTTGGGGTTTCTTTGGTGCACTAGTTCCTTTAAGTTAGGTTTTAGGATTTTTCTTGTTCATTGCCTGGATTGCAATGTATTTTCTCTTAAGACTGCCTTTGCTGCATCTTAAAGGGTTTGGACTTTTATATTTTCATTTTCATTTGTTCCCAGGTATATTTTAATTTCTTATTTAATTGTCTGGTTGACACATCCTTTCTTAGTAGGGTGTTCTTAACCTCCATGCATTTGAGGGATTCCAAACTTTTTCTTGTGGTTGATTTCAAATTTCATAGCATTGTCATGTGAAAATATGAATGGTATGATCTCAATTATTTTATATTTTTTAGGGCTGTTTTGTGACCCAGTATGTGATCTATCTTGGGGAATGTTCCATGTGCACTTGAGAAGAATGTGTATTCTGCGACTTTAAGATGAAGGGCTCTGTGCTGGGAGCCATTCTGAACTCACTAGTTGAGAAAACTCCTTGTGAGATTAAGGCAAGTTTGCACAGTTTCTTGCCATCAGATGACGACTGATATCCACCCCCACTCAATTATTTCTGCTTGAGCACCAACCTCCGAGGCACCTTACTGATTGGCATCTGGGGTGACTTGTCCACTTATTCTGGCCCTGGTATCATGATTGCACCTTGTGAAGAAAATTACTGTAGGAACTTCTTCTTTTGTGATCATGGACAGACATCGTGTCTCCAGCAGGTCTTGTTTTCCTCGATACTTCTCTTGAGCTATAAACAGGCTAATGACCCTTACTCCTAAAGGATTGACTTGTACAACCCTGTTTCTACCTCTGCGTTAGTCCAAGAGGTTCATGCAGCTCAACATGTAAGTCAACTAATCAAAAATGTTTCTCATGCCCTAGCTATCCAAGAAATCATAGACAAAATATGAGACACAAAGGTAAATGCACTCAAAGAGGCTATCCTGTGTAAAATGAGCTAAACTCTTTAAAGGAACGGTTGGCTCTCTGGTGCCATAAGGAATAAAACTGGATAATTAAGTCTTGCCAGGAGAAAAAGAGCCTAATTTATTTTTTTTATTTTTTTAAAGTTTTTTTTTTTTTAAGTTTTATTTATTTCTAGGAGAGAGAGAGAGAGAGAGAGAGAGACAGCGTGAGCAGGGGAGGGTCAGAGAGAGAGGGAGTCACAGACTGAAACAGGCTCCAGGCTCTGAGCTGACAGTCAGCACAGAGCCCGATGCGGGGCCCGAACCCACGAGCCGCGATATCATGACCTAAGCGAAAGTCGGATGCTTAACCGACTAAGCCACCCAGGCGCCCCAAAAAGAGCCTAATTTAGAGAGAAGGAACAGATAAGGGGAGAAAATAGGTTATTACATATACCTTTGCTAACTGGTGATGTATAGCAGTCCCTTTCCTTAGGACTACATTCCACAAACACCTTCCCTTACACTGGCAGCTGTGACGAGGATGGATAAAAGTATCTACAACTTAACCTATGACTTAATCTTAGCATTATTAAAACGTGTATGTTATCTTGTTTTTCACAAGAAAGAACACACTGTTCTTTTCTTAGTTACTCAACCTCAATATAAATGGGGTAGTTCTGTAAGATTACTTCTGTAAAATTTGTTTCTGTATACTTTCCAAAGCATCTTATCATAGAGAATCATCCATTGTAAAAATTCCCATTTTCTGATGTCATTTGACCTATAAATAAAGACACCAAAACTGACAGGACAGAGATGCCTGCCTGGTGATCAGAAAGAATCTCAGGGCTCTCTCACTCTCTCTTGCCAACACCATCCATCCTTCAGGGACACCTAGACTGGCTGGAGCTGGACTCCAGCATTTCTGAATATATCTGTCAAGTCAGTCTGGTCCAGTGTATCATTCTGGACCATTGTTTCTTTATTGATTTTATTTCTAGATGATCTGTCCATTGCTGTAAGTGGAGTATTAAAGTCCCCTGAAATTACCACATCCTTATCAATAAGATTGGTTATGTGATTATTGTTTTATGAATTTAGGTGCTCCAAATTTAGTGCATAAATATTTATAATTGTTAACTCTTCTTGATGGATAGACCCTGTAATTATGACATAATGCCCTTTCTCATCTCACTACAGCCTTTAAAGTCTAGTTTGTCTGACATAAATATGGCTACTCCAGCTTTCTCTTGACTTGCAGTAGCATGACAGATGGTTTTCTATCCACTTACTTTCAATCTGAAGGTGTCCTCACATCTAAAATGGGTCTTTTGTAGACACAATAGATGGCGTGTGTGTGTGTGTGTGTGTGTATGTGTTTATCCATTATGTTATCACATTTCTTTTGATTGAAGCATTTAGTCCATTTACATTCAGTGTTATTATTGAAAGATAAGGATTTAGTAGCATTATGCTATCTGTAGGTTTCATGCTTATGCTCTCTTGTCCTTTGTAGTCTTTGCAACATTCCACTCAGATTCTCCCCTTCAGATCTCTTATAGGGCTGGTTTAGTGATGTGAATTCTTTCAGTTTTTGTCTTGGGAAATCTTTCTCTCTCCTTCTATTCTGAATGACAGCCTTTTTGGTTAAAGGATTCTTGGCTGCATATTTTTCCTTTTCAGCACATTAAATATTTCCTGCCACTCCCTTCTGGCCTCCAAATTTCAGTGGATAGGTCTGCTACTACCTGTAAGTGTCTACCCTTGTAGGTTAAGGCCCGTTTATCTCTAGCTGCTTTCAGAATTCTTTTTATCTTTGTATTTTGCCAGTTTCACTATGTTAGGTCATGCTGAAGATAAATTATTGTTACATCTGAAGGTAGTTTTCTGTGACTCCTGGATTTCAATGTCTGTTTTCTTCCCCAGATTGGGGAAGTTCTCAGCTATGATTTGTTCACATACACCTTTAGCCCCTTTCTCCCTCTCTTTTTCTATAACTCTTACGATATGGATATTATCCTGTTTCGTTCATTCACTAGGTTTTCTAATTCTCTAAGATTTTTATATATCTTTTTTCTCAGCTTCATCTTTTTCCATAATTTTATCTTCTATTTCAATTATTCTCTCCTCTGCCTCTTCAATCCTGTGACTGCATCTAGTTTATTTTGCACCTCATTTACAACATTTTTTAATTTGTCATGACTACTTTTTAGTTTTTTGATCTCTGCAGCAACAGATTCTCTGCTTTCTTATATGCTTTTGTTCAAGCCATGACTATTGTTATGAATATTATTTTAAGTTCTTGATCAGGTATATTGCTTATATCTGATTGAGCAATTCTTTAGCTGTCATTTCTTCTTGGAATTTCTTTTGAGGAGAATTCTTCTGTTTCATCATTTGGCTAGTTTTCTGTCCCTTATGTGCTTTAAAAGCTTATTATGTGTACTGCATGTGTGAGTCCTACTGTATTAAAAAGGGGTCATACACTCTCCAGGGCCTCACCTTCAGGAGGTGTTTTTTGGAGTGTGCTACATGTTCTCTGTTGTTGTGACTGTGGTTGCTTTATCTCCCTACTCCTAGTGATGTTTTGGGCCCTCCACTAGGTGTGCTTTGATTTGCTTATTGAAGTAGCCCTGGAGGAATTTTTTTTTTTTTTTAATGGTGATGGAAGAGTCCTTATCCCATACAAAGAGAGAAATGACAGAGGTAGGGAAAAAGAAAAGGAAAGAAAATTGACAAGGTAGAGAGACTATATGGCTTAATCCAGAGAGAGAGGAAAATAAGGAGATATAGAATGGGTGTAAAGATAATAGATTATACACATCTGCTTAAACAAATCAACAACTAGAATCAACAGACTAGAGGAGGGAAGAAATAAGAAGGAGAAAAAGAAGGAAAAAAAATATATATCAAAAGTTTTCTACGGATTAAGTCAGGATATGCAAAACTGCTGGATGCCTTGGAACTGGTAGCAGTGCTGGTCTGGAGGAGGCGCTGTCTAGTTCGTCAGCATCAATCCCTCTCCAGTGGATAAACAATTACCAGGAGTGAAAGGGCGTGGTTGGTGTAAGTGGGTCCTGTCTCCACTGTGGGCCAGCTGTCCATTCCCTGAAGCCCCACCTTGCTTGTGGTGAGGAAAAAAACGGGGACACTCCAGTCTCTCCTCCCCAGATTGAGTGTCCCAAACCACTGTGTTTAGACCATCCTCACAGTACCACGGGCATGAAAGAGGCAGTTTGTCCTGCTCAGCTGACTCTCATGCCTCCTTGGCACTCGGCTGGGATTCAAACTCCAATGTCTTATAGGGTCCTGCTCCGCATGTGCCCCGATTCTAGAAAAGTGCTGCTCTGCCTGCCCATAAATGGCCTCTGGCTGCAGGGTGCAGGCAGAGTTCTTTGTCCTTGGAATAGCTATATACCTTCCTCTCACAGCACCCCAGGAAGGGGATTGCTTTCTCCCACTGCGAACTGTGCCTCTGAACTAGTTACAAAGCCCAGAACTGGCTCTCCTCTCCAGGTGTGTGAGCAGGGCAGCAGTTCCCAGTCCTGAGAAAGCCCCACAGTTAGAGATTGGATCTTTCTCCATTTTTTCTCGACCCCTGTTCTATGGTTTTTCTCTTGTCCAAATACAGTCCTACACTTCTCCAGCCTCTCTTTCTCTTCCCTTTGTCTCTCCACAGAAGGGATTCCTCCCCTCCATGCCTACACTACCCATTTTGTCTCTCCTCCCAGTTCACAATCACACACCTATAGTCCACCAGGTTGTCTCCATGGGCCCCTGGAGACATTTCTGTCACCCTGCAGTTAGGACTCTTGGAAATCAAAGTCCTCTGGCATCGACACTGCTGTGTTTGAGGGACAAGGAAACTTCAGGTCCTCCTAATTCTCTGCCATGTTAGATTCTCCCTCAAAAAAGTTTTAAATAAAATATGTTATCATGATAATAAAAAAAGGTTAGGTGGAAGAAAACATTTGGAATGTATTTGAAAAACAAACCATTCAACTAGAAAACAGACAACACATAAACAGACATTTCACTTTAAAGAGAATATGTAGATGGAAATTAAACATGTAAAAAGATGTTCAACTACATTCAGCCTAAGGGAAATGCAAATTAAAAATACATTGAGATATTACTACAGATCAATTAGAATTGCTAAGCTAAGAAAGAGTGATGACATCAGACTGGGGATAGTTGCAGAGAATCTTGATCATTCATACAGTGCTGGTTAGAATGCAAAATGATTGATCCATCCTGGAAAATAGTCTGGAAGTTTCTTAGAGTGATCAGGCAATTTCACTCCTTGGTATTTGTCTCAAAGATATGAAAATTTAGGTCCAGACTAAAACCTGTAAAAGAATGTTCAAAGAAGGGGCGCCTGGGTGGTTTAGTCGGTTAAGCGTCCAACTTTTGCTTAGGTCATGATCTCGGGGTTCGTGGATTCGAGACCCACATCAGACTTTGTGCTGACTGCCAGCTCAGAGCCTGGGGCCTGTTTCAGTCTGTGACTCCCTCTCTCTCTGACCCTCCTCTGTCACGCTGTCTCTCTCTCTCTCCTAGAAATAAATAAAACATAAAAAAAATTAAGAAAAGAATGTTCAAAGAAGCTTTATTTGTAATAATCTCATAACTTGAATAGACCATATATCTTTTAACAGATGAAATGTTAAACAAATATGATAATACATACTATGGAATAATGTTCAGCATTAAAAATAAACTATTAATACATGCAAAAAGTTGATGATTCTCATAGAAATTATGCTGAGTGAAAAAAGCCAATCTCAAAAGTTTACACACTATAAGATTCTGCACATGAATAAGAATTTTGAAATTAAAAAATTTTAGAAATGATCAAATTATTGACTATGGGGACTTAGTGATATTGTTAGCGTGATGTTGAGTGGATATGTTTATAAAATGGCAACACAATACATCCTGATATTGGTGGTACTATATAGTATCAAGCCTATGGTGGTGGGTATTCAAGATAAATGCCTAAAAAATATACAGAATTTAATACATATAAAAACCTGTTGAAACTTAAATAACATTTATGGATTTTAATAATGTCAATATTCTGGTTGTGATACTATAGTTTTTCCAAATAACACTAGGGGACACTGGTCAAAATGTACAAGGGATTCTCTAATCATTTCTTTAAAAAATAATCATCTCAATATTTATTTTTTGTATTTAATTAAAAACGGGTATGATGACAAAACTACTGTATCATGTTAACCATCATGGTAGCTATTACATTTGGAGACGAGGGGAAGGTTTAAAAGCAGTATATGATAAAATGTTCATTTTAAAAACCTCGGGACATTTGAGTGACTTAGTCAGTTAAGTGTCTGACCTTTGATTTTAGCTCAGGTCATGATCTCATAGTTCCTCAGATTGAGCCCCAAGTCATGTCAGGCTTTGTGCTTGACAGTGCGAAGCCCGCCTGGGATTCTCTCTCTCTTTATCTGCCCCACCCCCTGATCGCTCTCTCTCGCTCTCTATCTCAGAGCTGAGATAAGGATCCGGAACACTGGATACCTGGGCTTGTAGTCTCTTTTTCTGCCACTGTGTCTGTCTAGGGCAATGATAGTTATAACCCCAAACACACTGCTGGAAATATTCATATTCAACACCTGCCAACTGGGTCAATATTACTTCCATGACCTGAGTTTAAGAGCCCTTGATACATGGCAGCATTTTCCTAACCCCTATTCTCCTCTAAATAAACCTATTGTGGATTCATCTACATCAATATACTGACTTAGTTGCTAAGTTAATAACCAAGAATTGGGTGAACTCATGGTCACAAACACCAAGGAGAGAATGGATGGGGCTTCGTAATTCTATGCTCATTAAGTGAGCCTTTTTTGACTTTACCTTGTCTAATATAGGTAAATAATTCACCAATAACTAAAATTTAGTACATGCTTTCTAATACTGACATAGATAAGTTGTGACATCGCTGCCCTATGATATTTATTGTCCTAGGGGAAAATATGTTCTTCAATAAAATTAAAGACTGCAAACTTTAAGTAACTGTAACTTTTGTTAAGGGATTGATCCTTTTGCCCAAGGTGTAGGTCCTGGTTCCTCTTTCTGGGAACTATGAACAGTAACTACATTTTCTAATTCCCTGACAATTGACAAGGAACACATGACCTTCCAACTCCAAGCAACAAAACTGTCCTCTTAGATCAATATATGACCTGGTTTTGATGTTAACCCTCCTCAGATTCTAAAACAATTTAAAAAATACACTATATTTCAAAGATCCATTTGCTATATTCTTCTGAAATTAACCCCAGTATTTTATATTTCTACAAATAAAACATACACTGAAAACTTCTGAAAAATAATGTGAAGTTTTACAAAATATTATAATAAAGCAATTACTCATTTCATTACCACATAACTTTATAATCAACACTCCTTTCATTTTTTTCAACATTTTTTCATTAAGTATACATCTATAAAAATATAGTTGATGAGGACTCGAGTGGCTCAGGCAGTTAAGCATCTGACTGTTGTTTTCTGCTCAGGTCATGATCTCATGATCATAGGATTGAGCCCCATGTGAGGCTCTGCATAGAGCCTTATGGGGATCCTCTCTTTCTCTCTCTCTCTGTCCCTTTCTGGTTCATGCATGCGTGTGCGTGCAAGTGCACACATACACACACACAGACTCTCTCTCTCTCTCTCAATAAGTAAATAAAATTTAAAAAGTAAGTATTTAAACATTTAAAAATATATCTAGTTGACTTTCACTTGGTGGGCCCAAATTTCCTTCCCTGGACTTATCCATATGACCTGCTTGGGCCACTGGAAGTTAGTGGCAGTTACAGAGAAGGTTGGGAATTACTTATGCAAGTACACTTGCTTGTTTCTGTTTATCACTATTATAGACAACTTCAGATGAGTCAGCTGGTCTCAAAGGTAATTGGAGAAATGCAGGACAAAGCTTTCACAGATAAGATGCTCCAGCCCAGTTCAGATCAGATCAGAGTCTAAAGTCAACTCACAGATACAGGAGAAAGTCAACTGGATGGCAGCATATGACTTAGCCCAACATAATCTGGAAGAACCCCTCTAGTGTAGATGAGATAACCACAGACCTTACAGGGGAGACCCATGACTTATGGCAATGGCTAGCTTGATCTGCCTGCATCAGTGCTGCCAGCATAGCTAGTGCTATTAATCCATTCCCTGTCCCAAACCTGCTGACTGCAGAACCCAGTCTGGCTGATCTCATCACCAACCCATACCAGGAGGCAATAAGTGGACCCCTATTCTCACCCATGTTCCCTCTCTTGGTGCTTGACCTGACACCACCCTTTCTACATCTAGTGGCAAGAGAAAGCAGGAAGGCATCATTGTCTTTGGCCCTCCAGTCCAAGGCAGAGAGCCATACATATCACAATACACCTTCATGTCTACCTAGCAACAGAATATGAGGCAGGCAAGGGACCCCATGGTCTTCCATTCACACCAGCAAGGAACCAGGACTAGGGTCTCTTGACTCTCCACCTAGACCCTGTGGCTCCTGCTGTCTACTGGGTAACATAAGGGAACACAGGTCAGCACTTCTCTCCTCTAGGGGCACCAGCAGATAGAATGCAAAGCTCGTAAGCACAGAGTAGACTGGAGATGAGAGCAGCAGAAATATCCTCCATCCTGCAAGTCCATCATCCCTCAAATATCATGTAATGTTATCAAGTAGCAATGACAGAAATCCAAAGTAGGCTTTGGACGCTAAACTTAAATATAGTACAAATATCAGCTAGAATAGAAGACTCAAACAGGTTCTAATATAAGCCCAAAAGACCGGTATACAATTGAAAATCACTCATCATACCAGGAACCAGAAAAATCAAAGAAATGATAAAGGTCAATCAACCAATCTCAATACTAAGATAAATCAGCTGTTGGAATTATCTGAAAAAATAATTAAAGCAGATATTATAAAAACATGCCAACAATAAATTATAAGTAACAGTAAAAATACAAAAGTGAACTGCAGTAAAGAAATAAAAGATATAAAGAACTAAATAAAAATTATAGAACTAAATAACTGAAATAAAAATATTCTATAATAGTCTCCACAGAATTATGATGACTGAAGTTAAGATTAATGAACATTATGGAAGATTAATAGAATTTACTCAATCTGAACAATAGCGAGAAAATAGAAGAAAAGATAAAATGATCAGATCTCAGGGATCTGTGTCACAAAAATAAAATAAGATTGGTATTACTGAGGAAGAAGAGGACACAGAATGTGGGATGGAAAGAACACTTAAATAATTGCTAAAAAGTCCCAATTCTTTTTGTTATGCGAAGGACATAAACTTACAGATTAAAAAGAAACAAAAAGGGCACCTGGATGGCTCAGTTGGTTAAATATCCGACTCTCAATTTTGTCTTAGGTCATGAGACTGAGCCCCATCTTGGGTCCTACGCTGACCATGGAGCCTGCTTAGGATTCTCTCTCTTTCCCTCTGTCTTTCTCTCTACCCCTCCCTCACTTATGTGCTTGCTCTCTCTAGAAAAGAAAAAAAAAAAAAAATGAGTGAACCTCAAATAGGAATAACCCAAAGAAATCCATGCCAAAATATAACATCATAAAAGTTCTAGAAATCACTGATAAAAATAACAGTAAAAGCAGACAGAGAGAAATGACAGTTGCTGTACAAGAAAACACATCTAAATGAAAGTAGATTTTTCATCTGAAACTATGGAAGTCATAAGGAAGTGGCACATTTTTCAAGTGCTGAAAGAAAACCAGTGAATCAGGAATTCTACATTCAACAAAGTTATCATTCAGGAATACAGAAGGTAAGTTGTGAAAATCTGTCACGAGCAATCCTCCACATAAGGAATGGCTGAGCAGATCACCATCATGGCCCCCTCTTTTTGTCCCCTTTTTAACAACTAAAGGGGCTTTTATCCACAAACAAGAGTGTCTCTCTGGGATCTGTGGGATCCAGGGACACACACCAGAGATACGGAAGAATGGTCACCCACTGTGCACCTCAGTATGAGCTGCAGAACCAATAGACGTTTGGCAAACCCAGCCCCACTCTATCTGGTAAAGTTACCCTTCATATATAAAAGAAAAAGAAATAATTTCACAGACAAAAGCTGAGGAAAATTAATCACCATTAGATATGCCTCGCCTTGCAAGAAATGCTGATGGAGTTCTTCAGGGTGAAATAAAAAGACAATTATCAGAAACATGAAAACATATCAAAGTACAGAACACACAGGTAAAGGTAAAAATACAGTTACATTTAGAAACTACTAATCCTGTAATGAGATTGAGTGCTATCAACTTAAGTAGGCTAACAGAAAAAGGTGTTTTTTTTTTTTTTTAATTTTAATGCCAGTTAGTTAACATACAGTATTATAGTAGTTTCAGGTGTTCAATACTGTGATTTAACAATTCCATAGAACATCCAGTGCTCATCACAACAAGTGCACTCCTTAGTGCCCATCATTAGCCCTAATTAGCCCATCGTCCACCCACCTCCCCTCTGAGAACCCTCCTACCCTTAGGTGGGTGAGATGATGGAGTGAACAGGTGATGGAGATTAAGGTGTGCAGTTGTTGTGATGAGCACTAGGCAACATATGAAATGGTTGAATCATGATATCATACACCTGAAACGTTACACTGTATCTTAACTGGAATTTAAATAAACTCCTAAGGAAAATAATAAAAAAAAAAACAGACCTGTTTTGTTAAATGTTTTATGTGCACATGAGGCGAATGTACATTTGCTGTCTTTGACTAGAATATTTAATAAATACCACTAAGGTCAATTTGAGGGAAAAAAAAGAGAGACGTTCTCTTATTGTGAAGAAACTATAGCAAATAAATGTCAGGATCTACAAAAAAGTGAAAAGAATGAAAAATGATAAAAATAGAGGTAACTATATTTTAATATTTAAGTCTCTTCAGAAAACAATGGAATGATTGATAGAAAATGAATAACATAGTAGTGTGGCTTTTCTAATTTAAGTATAAGTAAAATGTACGTCAAGTATAGAACAAATCCAGAAGAGGGGGAAATAAAAGTAAACTACTGAATGTTTTTTAAGTTTACCTGAACTGACAGTATTACTTGAAATTAGACTATATATACTAAACACTTTCGTCAAGAATCTATCAGGAAATAAAATGTAATCACCCAAAATGTTTAATCAAAATCAGAGCCAAAATAATAGGAAAAAGCACAGAACACATGGGCCAAATAGAAAATAAATAGAAATGTGGTACAATTAAATGCAACTATATCACTAGTAACACTGATTATAAGTAGCCCAAGTGACTCAATTAAAAGATAAAATTTGTCAAATTAGACAAATATAAACATGACCCAACTAGGTTCTGTGTAAAAGAAATTCACTATAGGGCACCTGGGTGGCTCAGTTGGTTGAGCATCCAGCTTCAACTCAGGTCATGATCATACGGTTTGTGAGTTCAAGCCCCATGTCAAGATCTGTGCTGACATTCTATGTTGTCATCTCTCTCTGTTCCTCCTCCTCCCCCACTCACACTCTGCCTCTGTCCCTCTCAAAAATAAATAAACAATAAAAATATTAAGAAAAATGTTAATAAGCCACACTACCTTCTCAAATTGTCCTCAGGCAGTAAGAAACTAATGTTGTGTGAGAGCGGGTCTCTTCCCAATTAGATTAAGATCATCAGTAAGGAAATGGAATGGACACAGAGTCAACTACAAGTCTGTGCCACAACCCCTTCCATGCCCCAGTTGAGGAGTTATAAATTACAGGTCTTTGTATCTGTACACAGGTGGAGATATGAAGACCATAGATTATTTATCATAAAATACGTCACATAGGTGAGACAGTTTATGTGTCATACATGTATGGATTAAAGCAAAAATCCGTATTTTGCTTGAACTACAAATCAGCGGCTCAAGAGGTATCATTATCATATGTACCATGAGAGAAAAACAATGCCAACTAAACGGACACAATGACGTGTGTCTGCAAATCTGTATTTGATACTTGTTAAGTCATTCATACTTCAGACTAATGTTTGACACGTCACCACATGTCACTCTTCTAAATATATGAAGAGTTGCTAAAATAAATTGGTAATTTCTGTGACAATGACAACCATGTCTCTTACAGATCATTCTGCTCTCAGAAATGTTAAAATGTGAGAATTTCATACTTGTGTATCCAAAACTTTATTTATAATAGGACAACTTCCATCAATGTTGAATCTCTTGTGAATATTTTTGAGATGACATCTATTTTTCAATGCAGGCATACTTTTCTCAAAAGAAACTACCAAATATGTAACCATGTCTTGTGTGGCCTCGTTTTCAAACCATTCTAGACATGGGATTCTATGCTTGACTTGCTTCTTTCATTTGGCAGTGAGACTCATGCACACCGATGTGCATAGCTGCCAGTGTTGTGTACTATCCCACAGTACATACATAACCATAATTCATCAGTTCTCCTGCCGGTGAACATGGGAGAGATTTACTATGCTTTGCTCCAAAGTTCTGACAGTTTTCTTCTGGAACACACGTATGAGTTCCCTGAGGGTATGTGGAATTGCTTAACTCTAGAAGATGGCTTTTCTTACTCTAATTACTGAAACATGGGTCTCTACTCTTCCTCCCTCATCCATGAGCATCCTTTTTTCCTTAGTCCAACAGATGCTACAACTCTGTCAGTCAACCTTCAGAGGAAAGAGAATGAGGAGGGAGAAGGAGGTGCTCCTTGGCTGACAGAATGGGACCTTAAGGACAGACTGAGGACCCAATGACAGACAGACAGTGGTGAAGGCATGGAGCAGCTCTCCTATGGACTCTGAGAACAAAGGTGGGAGTGGAGCTGTGCCAGGCAGGAAACTGGGGTCTCGGGCTACAGCTTAGGTGATGTCACACAATCTTTTGAGGTCATTATGGTGCTGTGGAACATGTAAATTAAAAAATACAATAGTGTTTTATGGTGAAATGGCATGTCTTACTTACGCAATGCACAAAGGAAGCTATCTGGAAATAGCTTGCTCTCATGACCTGCTATCCCTTATGATGAGCTTACATGTTTGCTGCCTCCATGGTGGCAGATGCTACAGTAGCAGTGGTGCCAAGCTCTCACCACACCCTGCTGACTGCCTGACAGCCTCCACACTCTTCCCTTCCACATCGTCCCTACCTCACTGATATTCTATCTTAGTAAACAGCCTATCATCTCACTGAAGCTCTTGCTGTCAGAAACTCATTTCTGCTGTCTGTGCATTAGGGAGAGCTCTGAAGCTCTCAAGAAGGAACACTGGGAGAGCTCTGTCTGAAGACCTGAAAGTGAGTCAGGATGAGGAACAGTGAAGGTAACCTCACTGACAGCGAGGAAAGGAAGATATTCTTATTGTGACCCTCACTTAATTCACTCATGGATTGTACCACTAAACATTATCATTCTTTGCCTTAACAAAAAGCCTACAATCAGAGGCAACCTGGGTGGCTCAGTCAGTTAAGCATCTGACTCTTGGTTTCAGCTCAGGTCATGATCTCATGGTTTGTGAGTTTGAGTCCCACATTTGGTTCTGTGCTGACAGTGTGGAGCCTGCTTGGGATTCATCCTCTCTCTCTCTCTCACTCTCTCTCTCTCAAAGTAAATAAATAAACTTAAAGAAATAAAATAAAATATAAAAATAAATTTTAATTTTTTTTATAAAGCCCCAAATCAAATATGAACTAGTACACATGGTACTTGAATCCCGTGGCAATCTGGACCCACTCATTTTAACCATGTCATCTGCAACTCAAGTACAGTGAAGACACTGTACCTGAGCCACACTTGACCACTGACCATCTCCTGAATATGTTTCCTCTTTCCCTCTAGAATGTGGCCCCAGGGAAGCATTGTTCCAATTCTGACTCATGCTGCGGTTTTACACCCTCAATACAGCTTATCTCCCTACAGAGGCTGTGAACACACTAAAGCCATTACTCACTGGGCTGCACACCTCATCTCAGCCTGTGCAGAGCAAAGAATCTGACACACAGAAGTCACAAAGCCAGTGTTTACCCAGTAGTGGTCTTGTCCTATTAAACTGGAACATTTTGAAATACAAAGACCAAGTCAGATGTGTCCAGACTTTTACTAACAGTGCATTTGCTCCACACCTTGTAATTTCCCACCTCTACAAGCAGCACTACCATCCACCCGTCATGTGGGAAACCTGTGTGTTGTTTCATGTCCTTGAGCATCCTTAACCCCTTGCGTAATTATTCACAAGTTCTATAGGGTCCATGCCCATGACTGTTCAACGTGCCTGCTGTTCAGGCCTTTTATCGTCTCTCCCTGTGTGGCCACAGTCTTAACTGGCTTTTCAGATGCCAGCTTTCTTGTGCTCACTTATGCAGGGACCATTCCAAGCACAGCTGTGGTGAAATCACTCCTGTGACCCACATGTCTCTGTGGGTCCAGCACCCTGACTGCCTGGGCACATCTTCCCTGTATGACTCCTGCTGCCCCAACGGCAGTGAGTCGTGAGCTTCTGGAATCGCCCAGAAGGCTCCAGGCTTCAAGACTCCTGTAAGCTTTAGATATGTAGATACACACACACACACACACACACACACACACACACACACATATATGCACTCCTTCTTGCCTGCTTTTTTATATATAGTAGTTACTGTCACAGGGCAAGCCATGTAGGAGGCATTTGATTGTTTCAAGAAATGGATAAATTGACCCACTTCAGGATAGTTATGTTTCCCTGTCTTTGAAACGGGTGGGTGACTTGTGATGACAGGTGAGATCCATGCTAGTTGATATCCCTGAGTTCCACGAATGGCTAACATGTGTTTCCTCAAGACCAGGAAGAGATGCACAAGACTGGCAGTGACAAGGACCCGACCTCTGATGATTGTCCCTACCTGACATAGTTTTAGACCAGCTACTCCTCAGTTTCTGGGATAACCTGAAAGACAGAACAAACCTAGTCAAAACAAGTATCATGTAGTGACAAGATCTTGATATATAAACACCATTTTCCAATAAAACAGAGCTGGGGCAGGAGGCTCCTGGGCAACTTAGTTGGTTAAGTGTCTGACTTCAGCTCAGGTTGTGATCTCATGGTTCTGTGAGTTCTATTCTCAAGTTGAGCTTTATGCTGACAGCTCAGAGCCTGGAGCCTGCTTCAGATTCTGTGTCTCCCTCTCTCTCTCTGCACCTCCCTTGCTCGAGTTCTCTCTGTCTGTCTGTCTGTCTGTCTCTCAAAAATGAATAAATGTTAAAAAACAAAAAAGAGTGCAATTCCTTGGAGAAGTGTTTGATTGCAAGGCTGCAGTAGGAAAACATGAGCTGGAATATCTGGAAGTGCCCAAAAGTACTAAAAAGAAAAAGTGGGGCTTGTTGAAGAAACACAGGATATGAAGTAAAGGAGTTTCTATTGACCTTACAAAATAAAGAAATAATAATAATTACAACCCATAGAATAAATAACCATGTCATAAATAAATAGTTGAGCAGAAACATAAGGGAGTCCTAACAGTGAATCCCAATGAATACACGCAGAGGGAACTGGGGAACAAAGTGTCCATCAGACAAAGACCACCAGAGTCACTGCTGCAGACAAAATCTGATGAATTTGTTGAAAGTGGTGGACAAATAATTGGGGGAAGATAGGTTATGGCAAAGAAATAATCAGTAAAAGCAATGTGGGATCCAGGATCCAAAATGCCAATGCAATTTAAATGTTTAGCTGAGCTATGATTAGGGAGTGATGTTAATCTCTGAGCTCTGATCACTGTCCTATGGTTACGCAGAGGGTCTCTGTGAGAGCAAGCTGAGGGACAAACTGTACTATGTCTTGGCAACTCTTCCACAAGTCTGAATATGTTTTTAAGAGTACTCATTTTTTGCTTTCAAATGAGCAATCAAAATAATTCCCAAGTGCAGATAAAGAGCACAGGCTAACTGCAAGAAAGACAAAGCCTCACTGGACCCCCATCAATCAGTGTGGATGTCCTTTGTGTGAGTGACCTACATGCCCTGAACCTCTATCTCTTTCATCTGTGAAACTGGGATGAATAGAACGGTATCATCACTTGTGGTGAGATTTAGATGTACACACACAGCGCCAGCACAGAGCCGGTGAGAAACAAGGCTTTCAGAGGTTCCTGGGTGGCTCAGTCGTTTCAGCGTCCGACTCTGGGTTTCATTCAGTTCAGGTCATGATCTCATGGTGCATGAGTTTGAGCCCTGTGTTGGGCTCTGTGCTTAAAGTGCAGAGCCTGCTTGGTATTCTCTCCCTCTCTGTCCTCCCCCACTTGCATGTATTCTCTCTCTCTCTCTCTGAAAAATAAACAAACACTAAAAAGAAGGAGGAGGAGAAGGAAGAGAAAGAAGAAGAGCAGGAAGAAGAGGAGAAGGAAGAAGAAGAAGAAGAGGAGGTGGAGGAGGAGGGAGAAGAAAGAAGAAAGAAGAATGGAAAAAAATGACGACAACGACTTTCTGTTCTCTTCCCCGAGAAGCCATCTACATCATGCACAGTGCAGTCGACCTCCATGCATGTCACCTTGCTCTCAGAGCTCACAGTTCATAGAGAGGTACAGCTAGTCTACACCAAACACACATTATGCTTTCTGAATGTGCTGCTAGTTTCCTGTGCTATCCATGACTTTAGCGTTTGGGATTCTCAGTGAATGTAGAGCTAAGAAAAGGTGGATCCACTCCCTTCTCCTGGAGCGCAGGCTATCATTTCCCTCACCCTGACTCACCACACACACCTGAGTCCCAGGTATCTGAAAATGAAAGAGTGAGGTAAAGCCAGCAGAAAGCAAGAAGGAGGGGGTATCCGGGAATCCACCTTGACGCCTTCAGGGTGGAACTGAGGCTGAACACTGACTTGGTGGGGCTGAGGCTGGAACACTCCCGGAGCAGGGAGCTGTGCCCTTGGCACTGCGGGCCGCTCTGCTCCTAGGGTTTCTCTCCCCCAGCCGGAGCAGTTCCATGTGACTGTAGGGAAGACCTGTCCTCCCGGAACCTACCCAGCTGGTCAGGCCTTTGGGTGCGAGCTTCCTCCTTTCCTCGCTCTTCCCCGGGACTTGGGCCTGGAGCTGGGGCCCTTGCTGGCCCCCATCCCCGCTGCTCGCGCGGCCTTCCTTCTGAAGGGCCTAGATGAAGGCTTCCATTTTCGGGCCGTCAGGGATCTGGGTGGCAGGTCTGCCGCAGGTCCGCTCTCCGCCACCACCCTTGGGCTGCCCGCAAGAGTTACGCTGCCCCTGGAGCTGCCCGGCGGCTGGGCCCGCGGGTGCGCAGGTCTTCGAAGACGAAGACGGTGCGCTCCTCGCCACGCAGCACGTGTGGGGACCACGCTGCTGGACGCCTTCCCCACCGGCGTAAGCAGGAGGCAGGGCTGCAGACACAGCAGCAGCCGTGGGAGGCTCTGGGTGCCGAGCCGATCGTGGTCCCCTTCTCCGTGGAGCTCCACGGCCTGTGCGGAGAGGAGAGACACGGAAGCGTGACTGTGAGGCTGGAAGTGGTGCCACTTGCCCTCCTGAAGCAAACCACTCGAGCTTATAATTAGGATACTCTGCAGTCAAGTCCAGTGCATGCAGGAATCCTGCTCTAGCACCCCACAGAGGTTACCCCACTTTGTGCAGAGAGTTTCACTGCCAAAAAAGAACCAGTACAATTCACCAGCGAGCGTTCTCACACTTTTATTTCATACACGTCTCTCAGCGTTTCTGCAACACAGATTCCTAAAGGTGAGGCTGCTGGTCAAGAGCTGTGCCATTTTACAGTCGCATGCTTAGTGACAAATTGTGCACATGCGCCCAGGGCATGCTGCCAGGCCACAGGTGCATACGGAAGCATGGAAGGACTTTCTCCTATTTGAAGGCGTCCCACAACAGATGAGGCCATCTGGGCCGCCATGGCCACTATTCCAGAATGGACTGGACAGCAGGGATGGTGTTGAGGGCATACAACATGGGGTATGAGATACAGGAGCTGACATCTAAAGGACCATGGATATTCAGAAGTACTCGGAACATTTCCATGGTGCCTTATTTGGCCTGAGTCCTTCCAAATGCAATGCCTTCTCTTACTGAGCCTGGAGGAGACTTAGCAGCTCTTCCAAATCACCCTGGCCCTTCTCCAATAGTCTCGCAGAGGCTTACTGCTGGGTTCTCCCTGTCCTCCTCCAGCACGGGAATGGAGATGATGTCGCCCACCGGCTGGGCCAGGGTCCCACTGTAAGCCTCAGCCGGTGGTCTCAGCAGGTGCACTAAGTCTTCCCAGCATGCAAACAGATCTTCCTTTGCATCTGGAGGGACCCACAATTGTAAGTAAAAAGAGCGGCCAGTGACAAGCTTCAAGTGGAACTGTTTTTCCTTGTGATTGTAGATGGATACGTTTACAAACTTCAAAGGAAGCAGCCTGTTGGGGAGCAAAGTGATAAGGGATAAGATTGGGGTAGATGGGAAGGAGAGGCAAGGAAGTCTCTCTGGCCAGTGAGAATCTATTCCTCTCTTATTAAAGGATTGACAAGTCCGGTCCACTTGATCTCAGCGCTCACATCCACCTCCTTAGCACTGACAGGTGCACCCTGAATTCAGGGTACATCACTTAACTCATCACACTCCTTACAAAAGCTTGTAAGATGGCTCCTTGGACCCCAGGGTGGTTCAGTCGGTTAAGCATCCAACTTCAGCTCAGGTCATGATCTCATGGTTCATGAGTTCGAACCCCATGTCAGGCTCTGTGCTGACAGCTCAAGGTCTGAAGCCTACTTAAATTTTGTGTCTCCCTCTCTCTCTCTTCTCCCCCCACCCCAGTCTGTCAAAAATAAATAAATGTTAATTAAAAAAAAAAAAAAAGCTTGATGGCTCCTGACCACCTACCAAAACTGTAGTTATTAACCCCTCACTGTAGGTATTAACCCCTCTGCCATGCAAGGCCTCCTACCATTCTTCCCTAGCTTTTCTTCTGGTCTTATTTCCACAACCCTTCTTACACAATCAATAGCCACGTTCCCACAAAGCCTTGTGGACCCTGTAGCTGTGTCTGATTTCTCCTCCTCCGAATCTGCCCCACCACTGCTGGTCAGGCTGCAGAAGGCTCTGAGTTATGGAGAATCATGTGTTTGATGGGCGTGTCCCTCCTGGATACATCTTACAGGGAGGCAACTAAATTCCTGGACTCACCTGGTCAGCTCCAAGCTCTTTATGGACCTGTGGCCTTTTCCCCGGGTATCTTGGTCATTTCTGGCCCTGACTGCACAGCTCACAGCTGGCTGTGCCAGCAGCATGATACCAGATATGGTGAGGTTGTGGCTGGTGTATGCAGTGCCCACTGTCACCATCTGCAGGCTGTTGTGCACATCAATCACTTCTCCTCTTTTGTTGATCAGTTGTTGGAAGAAAGAGGAAAGCATCCTTGTCTTACATTCTCTCGCATCTGCCCTCCTCTGCTCTGCTTTTAAATAAAGTGGCCACCGCAGTTCTTGGCCTGTGGCCAAAACTTCAAGGGGTTCAGCATTCCCTCAGGGAGTTCAAGGCCTGCACCAACAGAACGGATGCACATCTGCCTCTGCAGTCTGATCTCTCGTATGAGCCAACTCCCCTTCACAACGGGCCTGTGTATTTTCCTACCTAGAAGTGCCTATGGTCACTATTAAAGTAACAAATGCATGTACAGCCCAAGACCCAGCAATTCAACCTGAAAATGTATTCTACATTTACTTGTATAGGCACAAAGTTGTTTGTCACCATGATTTCAACAAGACACCGGCCATAACTCAAGCACTTCTAGGTAAACAAATTTTCTCAAAATGGTCAATTTTTAAAAATTAAAAAAAAAAAGCTTTTCACCACAAAAATTCTAATGCAAAAAAACAATGAAATGCAAAGGGATCATTCTGGACTGAAAGAGTAAAGAGGGGTGACAATCAACTGTAATCTATGATTCTGGATTAGGAAAACAGCCATTAAGAACATTATTTGGACAGGGGCATCTGGGTGGCTCAGTCGGTTAAGGTCCGACTTCGGCTCATGTCATGATCTCATGGTTCGTGGGTTGGAGCCCCGCATCGGGCTCTGTGCTGACAGCTAGCTCAGAGCCTAGAGCCTGTTTTGGATTCTGTGTCTCCCTCTCTCTGACACTCCCCTGCTCACGCTGTCTCTATCTCTCTCTCAAAAATAAATAAAACATTTTTTTTTTAAAAAAAGGAAGAACATTATTTGGACAAATGAGAAAATTTAAACACACATTCTATCAATGACAAATTTCATGAAATTGCATCATGGTTACATAAACGAATCTCCAAGTTCTTAGAAGATGCGTGGAGAATTTAAGGATAAAGGGGCATAACAGTACGACTTACACTGAACTGTGAAATAGTTGAGCAAGTATAACAATCTGTGTCTCATGTCTGTGTGTGTTTACTGACCCCTATTCCCACCTACACATCAATCAGGAGCTCAGAAGCATCCTGCTGCCCCAAGAGCCCTGGTCATTCCAGGGGAATCTTGGGAGTGGGTCCCAGGCAGTAGTGTTTCCTACAATTTTCATGTAATTCCAAGGAGTTGTCGAGGTCGAGAATTAATGATAAATCATGCAGCCCCCTGGCTGGTCCTCATGTGTCTCCACTCCCCTGCTCTTCTCTCCCACACTCACAAGGTGTGTGGTTGCTCACGGCCAAACTGGTTTGTATTGCCATGACCCTCACCTTCACCTCTGGTGTGTACTGCCATGACCCCCACCTTCACCTCTGGTGTGTACTGCCATGACCCCCACCTTCACCTCTGGTGTGTACTGTCATGACCCCCACCTTCACCTCTGGTGTGTACTGCCATGACCCCCACCTTCACCTCTGGTGTGTACTGTCATGACCCCGACCTTCACCTCTGGTGTGTACTGCCATGACCCCCACCTTCACCTCTGGTGTGTAATGTCATGACCCCCACCTTCACCTCTGGTGTGTACTGCCATGACCCACACCTTCATCCAGAAACCAGTACAGACTAGGAATTCCTTGAGCTGAAATCCAGACAACCTGGGCCTCAGCCATCTGATGGTCTGAGAAACTCACTTTACTCTCTGGAACTCAGTTTGCTCCTGAGAAAAATGGGGGTATCTTTAGTGCCTGCATAGCTAGGTTGTTGTGAGGCTCACAGGAAACAGGCACAAAACTGCTCTGGATATTGGAGAGAACCAGATAAATAAGAAGGATTGTAGAGCCTCCAGTCCCTACAATGCCCTGAACAAGAAGAAGCAAGGTGCACCAAGGTTACTCCATGTCGGATGTCCACAGTGCGACAGAAGACTGTGCCTCCTAGAGTCACAAAACATTTAATAAGCATATAGACAGGGGCAGAGGCACCTGGGCTTCTCAGGTGGCTAACTGTAGAGATCTCGGTTTTGGCTCAGGTCATGATTTTATGGCTGTGAGTTTGAGCCGCACGTCAGGCTCTTCATCGACAGCGTGGAGCCTGCTTGCGACTCTCTCTCTCTCTCTCTCTCTCTCTCTCTCTCTCCCTCCCTCTCTCTCTTTTTCTGCCCTTCATCTGCTCTCTCTCAAAACAATAAGTAAACTTAAAAAAAATAAGCATATAGGAAAGGACAAAACCTGCATGAAAATAATGACCAAATCCGAGACAGTGGTAACTGGGCAGAAAGGGAAATACAATAAGGGAAGCGCGCCCAGGAAGAGGAAACCATGTTCATATTTGTTTGTTTTCTTCCTCTAAACAAGAATGCATCTAATGCAAGTATAGGAAGGAGCAGCCACCTGATGAAACTGGTTACGTACGTCATTAAGCGAAGAAACAGAACAGAGCGACTGTCTGTCTCCTCTACCTGCACTCAGTGCATAGCAGGTCTTCAATAAAATGCTGTGGGCAGGAAAGAATGAAAGGACGGGAACGGGGGGGGGGGCACTTCACCTGGTAAAGCCGCTCTCAAATACGGGCAGGTGCTTCAGCAGGGCGTACTCCTCCTTGCACAGCAGCCTCTGCAGCTTTCCCACGGGCTGGTTGAACACGTGCAACCTCTGGCAGCTTGGGGAGACCTCCCACGGTAACTCCAGGTCACTGTCCATGGCTGCCTGTTACTGACACACTGGGAAATGGGAGGCCAGTTACTTCTTGCCCCTGCTACCTAGTTTCCTAGTGGCCAGCCTCCCCACACAGAGCTCATGAGCACACACATCCTGTAGTACTGTGACTCCGGGGAGCCCCCTGGGCAGGTACAGCCCTTGCCCCTCTACACTTGTCAGCAGATGGTGCCTTTGTGGGAGTCAGAGCAAGGTATCCCCAGCACCAGGACAGCACAGCCCAGAGCACAAGCCAGACCGCAGACCCCTCCCCTCGTCCTTCAGCCAGCTGTCCTCGTGCAGTGAACGACGTGCACAAACCGTGCACACAGGCCCTTCTGGCTCCCGACTCTCTCACAGACCCCAGGCCTACAACAGTTCACTACTTTCACTGTGGACTCACTGTGCCTGCCCAAGAAAAGGCTCCATCACTTCTATCTGAGCGAAGGACACGTTATGTGAGCTTTTTACTTACTCCACCCTCCGGAAGGCTTTTCCATGTCGGCCTATGTCCCTGTCCTCCTTGCTCAGGGTCAGGATCAACCCAACTCTGACCACAGTCTGGATTCTCCTCTCTCCTGCTCAGAGTCCCCCGAGTCAGGTTCTCTCCCACGCTTCTCTGCACTCCCGTCCTTGGAGAGTCCTGCCCCTCCCAGGGCAGACTCCCCCGGACGCCCAATCCTGAGGAGGTTGTCCTCCCACTTCCCCAGATCCAGATCTGGGTCCCCTCACCTCCTTACAGGCCTCTCCTTCTCAGGGCTTTAACCCTGGTCTAGGTCATGGTTCCACTTTGCCACAACAATCTCACTACAGTGCACAGGGCCCACCCTCTCCAGAGCCCCCACAACCCTTTCCTCTGTGCAGGGGGCTGCAGACTGACCCCAGGGCCTTTGCATGGACACCGGCAGTCCAGGACCGCACCGACCTCTGAGAGCTGAGGTGGAGGAGTTGCCAGAGCTGTGTCCTCTGTGTCCCCACCCTCCCCCTGAACAAGATTTCACCCGCAGGTCCCCCGGAACTTCTGCCTCCCTGCTCCTCAGGCTGCCTGTAAACGTTTCCTGTCCATTGTGACCTGTATCCGCCATGCAGTTGTGTGTCCTCATCCCCACAGCCACGCCCTCAGAAAGGGACAGCAATCTGCCGGGAACACAGGCAAGCCACGAGGGAGAGGAGAGCGCATTGCTGAAACGGACAGGTAGGCGCGTGCGACGACACCACCTACGCAAGCCCTGCACTCTCGTTTCTGTGGACACGAGGCTGCTGCGCGTGCGCAAATACCGCCGACACGGAGCCTCAGAGGGCAGGCCAGCAGGTGAGCAAGCGCAGTCACTGCCTAGCAGCCTGGCAGCCTCTGAGCGCCGGGGGTCGTGAGCGCATGCGCACACAGAGCCCACAAGCCCTGGTTTGAGACCGAGCGCAAACAGCACAGCGACCCTTCTGGGCTTCACCAAACGGAGGGAGGTGCCCCTCCCCTGCGTCCGTCTCCCGCTACTTTGTGTCTCGTGTCACTGTGCACCTGAACTGCAGTAGGTGGCTGTGTCAGCCTTCTCTGACCGGCTCCGGTGAGGTCCAGGAGACCGCAAGCGTGGGCAGCGGGAAACGGCTGGGGGAGGCGTGCGAGCGGCGTATTCCACAGTCCCGTGGGATAGGAACGGTGTATCACGGTGACCTGAGGGCCTTTCTAGTGTCTGCGTGGGAAGAACAACAAGCTTACCCTTTACAGGCTGAGCACGTTACTCCTGTGAAGAGCCAGTGTTCGTAGGCGCGCTCGCGCACCCGTCTGGGGTTGTGGTGCCCCGTACAGGAGCCCCGGCGGTTCTCCCAGCGTTCTGAGCGCGCCTCTTTGCCTCCGGTCTGGGAAACGAGGGAGACTGCACTGCCTGCCCGCTTTCAGGCCGGCTGTAGTTACTGACGCGCGTCCACAGTCTGCGCTGGAGGACGGCAGCCCGGGTGCAGCCCGGCCGCGCACCTTCCCCGCAGAAAAGCGGCGGCTCCCGTGGAACGTGCCGCGAACCGCAGCAGCGTGGCTCCCCCGTCACCCGGCAGTGACAAAGAGAAAGATGGTACCTGACGGAGGCTCAGGCTCCCTCTGTCCCATGGCCCAAGCCATGGAACCACTGTTCACACTCTTTAGGGCTGGCGCTGCCTATTGACTGAAGTTGCCCCGCTGCGCTGGCCCCTAGGCCCCGCTGGGTATCCTCGCAGGGGCACCTGGCTGAGGAGGGCGGTAGGGCAGTGCGGCATCTTAGGAGCGGGGCCCCCTTGTTCCCGTTTCACTTTTGGGTTCCTTGATCGTCTCTGTTCTTCATTCTCTATTTTATTCATCTTGGTTCTAATATTTT